AAGCAAGAACGAATCTAGAGGCATACTTGTTACAGTTGTGTGACTCCAGCTGGATGATTGTCTTAGGGCAAAATGAAAAATATTAATTCACTGATTTTAACAAAAGTAGCGTTGCTATTTTTTGTGTACATAGTTAATTCATTTCAAGGAATGAAACATTTTAAATTGGTATTTCAGCATTTCATTTTGAAACTGAATTTTCCTTCCTCTAGTGAAGAATTTTCTGGAATTTGTTTATGAGAAACTTTGTTATAGCCCTCAAAATTCTGTGTTTCATTTTTATGTCTGACCAATGGACTGAAAATTGTTTGCACTTTTGGGGACTGCAAAATTTCAGCAAATGGATACTGACAGCTCTAGTCACTTAATGAACAATTTTCTCCTATAATAAGTACAACCAAGAGTGTGTTTAATGAAGTACCTACAGCAATCAGTACAGTTTTATTCAATGTTCTGTTTAATACAGGAGTAAACATTGCACTAAATGAGCATATATTTTCTGGGACTGCAATTTTTTAAAAAAACAAAAGGCCAACCAACACAACCAGAGTACAGCCCAGAATATATGCAGTGCACTGAGATGCGAAATAAGAGATGAAGCTTTGTGTGCTCCGTGATTTCCAAAAGATTGCAACATTCTGAATGGGAGAAATGACTCAATGATTGAATTAGTTTTCAGACTGTTTCTGCTCTCTGTAACTAAAAATATTCAAGATGACTGAGTAATGAGATGAAATTTGCACTGTGCCAATTGATAGGATTTCTTCATGTGTGTGTTTGTGCGTGTGTGTGTGTGTGCTTGCTGTAAATAGGCAAGTACCACTTCATCAACAAACACAGTGATCTCCCACAAAATATTTACAACCCACACCCCAAGGTCCCATAAAGGTTAAGCTTTTTAATGTGTGAGGGAAAAATCCATAGGAAACATTGGGTTTACTCAGAAAGTAGTTACCTGTAGCTTTGATAATGATTTGCAAGCATATGAGAGGCAATGCAGCTAACCTTGGTTTTGGCTCCTAAATTACCGCGCACAGCATCTTTACTGAGGCTGTGCTTTTTTCCCCACATATGAAGGGATGCTCCTACACAATCCCTCTGAGAGCCTGCCCTCATTCCGCAGGCTGCCTGTTGTCTCTTCGTGCTGAACTGTGCATCTGGCCATTCGTGCACGTATCTATGCATTATACAGGTGTGTTTCTGTGTGTGCACCTGCTGGGGATGCATGCTTAGCCTCACTGCTGGTTGGACCCAGGGCATGAAACCGTGGCAGCTTTGCCTCCGTCAGGCTGCCAGAATCAGCAACTCCTACCATGAACCTTTTGCACTTTTCATTTGGTGACTTTTCCCTCTTTTGTCAATTGATCAACTTTTCAGTCATTTTCACCTCTACAAAAAGGTTTAGTGCCTGACTTCCATCAAGACCATCAAGACCCCAATCAAGTGGGAAAGTAGAAACGATGAATCAAACTTTAAAGAGGCAAATCTCAAAGTTTTGTCGGGACACACAAATGAAATGTGTAGATATCCTACCCATAGTATTAATTTCTGGAGCCAGAACAGGAGCTCTGAAGACTGAAAAGCTCCATCCAGGCGCTGTGTGCTCAAGAAGAAAGGTAGGAATAAAAATGTTTTGAAGTCTCTGTGGCTGGAATTCAATGCAGATTTTTTTCTGCAGGAAACACCACCTTGAGCACTTCAGTAGTTCATCTACTTCACCACCTCTGCTGACATTACCTGCAGGATGAATGTACACACTGCCAAAAGAGGTAGACTTGACTGCTTTGCTTTTCTCCTGGTTATTTGTGACTGCACTGTCACTGTTGGCTAAAGAAACCCAGGGAATTGACCTGGCTAAAGAATTACCTTTTTTCTGGCTAAGACCATTTTCAGCTGGGTTGTTTTCCTGATGTAATTCTTGTGTCACCTGCCACACAAAGCCTACTGCTATCTAGGTGAAGGCATGGAAATGCTTCTCCCGTTTGTCATTTTAGAGATTCACACAACTTTTATATTACAGTTAGTACATTGCATGCTGTGTGATGAGATATAGCAGATGTTTTATGATAAAATTTGCATGGCTTGTGTTGTATGACCCACATCACGTGTTATGTGACTGGATTCTTGTGCCGAACCCTTGTGTTTGACAGATACTAGACATGTTGCATTCAATAACTGACCTCATTTCATATTTCAAGAATAACTTGTTACATGCATATATGCAGAGATATTGTACTGCTACTGATGGAGAGGAAATTAGCTTGCAATCATCTTGGAAGTTGAATAAGGTACCTATTGATGTTAATTATAATTCCTTTTGAATTTGTATTCATTTTCCCCTACATCAAAAAGGAGCATTATACTACCTTTCTATCCATCAGGCAGTAACCACTGGATTCTGTTTCCTACATCAAAATTCTCCGAAGCCCTAAAAAACGTCCCATCCCACACTGCCAGCTACTTAATACTTTAACTAGCGTTAACCTAAACTTAATCTAGAACAGTAATGCACAATGTGTATGATTTTTTTACTTACTCAGTAACAGCCTCCTATTTTCTCATCCTTCAAACCAAGTCGGCGGGGTACAATACCTATAGAGTCAGGATCTGTCAAAGGCTTCTTAAGTGTTGCAGAAAATTGTATTTCTAGGTGAGCAACACCTCTGACTTTGCAGGATTGAACCACTGCTTTTCCACATGGTGCCAATAGTGACAGCCCTAATGGTAGCCTGAGATGTCATGTAAGAGTAAAGACCATTTCCTTGGTTTAGTTGTTGTCATTAGGTAGATCTGGGCAGCTCCCTGTTTGGGTGTTAGCAATGGATTTCTGCTTAGCTCTCCACTGCCTGATGAACCCCTGTGCTTGAACTCAAGATTTTCAAATTCCACCCAGAGACACAGTAAGCGTCTCTAAACTGCACTGCACCCTCCCCCGCTGCTTTGCATACATTGCTGAGGGACTGTGAATACATTAATTACCAAAGGAAATACATGAATTACTGAGGAAATGCGTAAGATGAACTGATCTGGCATTAATCAGAGCTAACCCTGTTGGAGAATGGCTCAGAGACAAGGGTCCTGAGCCCACCGAGCAATTGTACGATCAGAGCCTGCTCTAGCTGCTGATGCTGAGCCTCACTAGGGTTTGCCTGCAGCTGCTCGCAGCTGCTGGTACAGGAGGAATGTCAAGGACGCTTCAGCCCTGTGTACCGTGGTGTGTCGAAAGCAGGTTAAGGGGAATTAGGAATAGTGGTCTGAGAAACCTAGTGTTATGATAACGGTGGTCTGAGAAACATTGTGTTACGATACTGTCGTGTATTGAAAACAAGTCAACAGGAATCAGAAATAGTAGCATGAGAAACTTAGTGTTATGAGAAGCTTGGGCTGTAAGCTAACTGCAAGTAGGTGGACCGTGCGAATACGACCTTTAGAGCTTAAGCCAATCAGCTAGTGACTAGTAGGCATAATAATTATCATTGTCTATATAAATATATGTACCCTGGACCAAAAAAGACACACGTTGATTGATGCTCTATCACCCACACTGAACCCGTCTCGGCGTGTCGTTCGTCCGCGGCTCCGCATAACCCAACTAGAGGGACCTCACTGAACTCCTAATTGGCATAGCCAAATGGAAAATTGTTGCTCATTTCCTCAAGTTCAGTTTGAAGGATTCCTACCAACAATCTCTTAACACTTCCATTTACAGAGAACACTGAGAAAAACATCTGTTCTTAGACAAAATGAGGCAGCATGGCTTCTTTACTGAAGAATCAGTATCCATGAAAATTTGTGAAGAAATGACAATGAGTATTTTTTTTTCCTATCTGATCATAACACTTCATTGCCTCCATGAGCAGAGATGTAATACTGTAAAATGTGCAGTGTTTGAAGTTCTAGTTGCAGGCCTGTCGTCAAATGAAATTATCTGATCTTCATCTGTATATACCATCTGAGTCTATGGGACATGATGTCCATTTGTCCAATGCTTTTGTCTATTCATCACTTTCTCACTCACATCTCCACTATTTTATTCTGTCATGAAATACCATCACATTTATATGTCATTACTCACAGAAAGTAAGTTTAAACTCCATCATCAGACTTTTTCTGGTTGTTTACGAGATTCTGAACAGCCCTAGAAATTATGGCAGAACTTTTCTATCTTGAGCTTTATTCTGATCAGTTCTTGGGGAGAGGAGTCCTTTCACTGCTTTAAATTTGCCTGCCTGATTTGAACTGGATTAGATTTTTGTGATAAACAGCTCCACTTCAGATTATCAATCCCTTAATCAAACCATTACCTAATACGTGGTGCCCTGTTACAGGTCCATAAACACACCCTCCCTTTATAGTGCACAAATGATGGTTTGAGTCATACATAAACTAACACATAAGGCTACACCGTAATTTGGGTTGAAATAGACCCTGGAAGGTCACTTAGTCCCTGCCGACTATCAGGAAACACACGATTCTCCAAGCTTCTGGGAATTTTTGAGCAACACTGTGCAAGCAGAGTATGTTTTTCTTTCAGCATTCAAGAAATACCTAAAGAATCTGCTGCAGGCATCAAAGCGGCCCATCCTCCCTAACTCGCTAACACAACAAGCCCGCTGGTGGTGTCGGTGTTGTTGCTGTTGCTCCCCGCGCTGAGGAGCCGCACGCCGCCGTCGGTGCCCAGGGCGCTGCGGCAAAGGCTGCGCAGGCCCGGCCAGCCGGCCCCGGGGTAAAAGCCACGGGGCCGGATTTTCATCTTCAACTTTCTTTCTTTGTGCAGCACCGGCCGTTCCCACAACGGCAGCGGCAGGAAAACGCGCCAGCAGCGGAACAAGCCACACCACCCCCACCGCCTGCAGACCGCCCCACCGCGGAGAACATGGCGGTGGCGCGGCGGCGCCTTCGCCAGCCCCTCCCACGTTCCCGGCACGCACCGCGCCCTGCATCACAACCGTCCGTCCGTTTCGCCTATTGGCGGGAGGGGGCCGCGGCGCCGCGCGGCTGCTGCCCGCCGCCCCGCCCCGCCCCGCCCCGCCTCCACCGGTCGCCGCGCTCCGGCGTCGCGGCGGCGAGATGGCGCTGGAGGCGCGGAGGATGGAGGGCGACGTGGAGGACGGCGAGCTCTCTGACTCGGATGCCGATATGCCCGGCGTCGGCTCCCCCGGGGACCCGCAGCAGGTGAGGCAGGGGAGGCGGCCGGCGGCGAGGCCCGGGCCGCTGAAGGCCCCAGCCGGGGGAACGCAGCGGGAGGCCGCGGGGGCCCCGCCGCCGTTTCGCCTCCCTGAGGCGCCGCTGCCGACCGCGGGGCGGGAGGCGCTGGACGGGCCCGCTGGGCAGCGGCGGCGGCCGAAGCAGGGCGGGAGGGCCGGTGCGGCCCGAGAGGGTGGGTCTGGGGGCCCTTCCCCGGGAGCCGCTGCTCGCCCTGGGCCCGGCTTGTGCCGCCAGGGCCCATTCGTCTGATAAAGCCGCATGTTGCCGCGGGACAGGAAGGCTTTGTTGTTCCTGGGCGCTGGGGTCGGTGAGCAAAGGAGAGTGCTCACCGGTAGCGTTAGTCGCTTCAAGAAGAATGCAAACAGGCCGTTGTAAAAACGCGTGGAAGCAACGAGTGGCGGTTACGGCTTTCGCTTGACTTCACGACTCTTTCGCATCTGTGAATTGCTGAAGAGATATTACGAGTTTCCCTCGTTTTGTTTTCACGTTAGAGAGTGTTACGAAGTTTATGAGGAGTTTATGGTGGTGTGTGGGCAGAGGTAAATCTCAGTCTATGACGCTGTCTGTGTGAGGGCTTTTATTTTCTTAGTTTGGATTTATTTGCAATACAGTTTTGGGATGTGTCGCACAAAATAATTTATTACAGACGTGTTTGGTTGTTTTGTTTTTGTTTTTTTGTTTTTAATTTATGGAGTTGTCGGTGTTTTGCATTACGGAATACATTTTAAATTAAAAGTTTGTATTTCATAACATGATAAAATAAGTTGAGGACTTCTGTGTGCTAAAAGGAGCATCAAGAAATAGAGCTATAGAATTAAAACTGAAGGAAGAGGTCATATTTTTAAAGGTCACGGGATAGCGTGGAACCTTATGGTAGGAAATCAGCTAGGTAAAAATTGGAATTATGAGTAAAGAAAATGCTTACTACAGATTAGCACAGAGTGGCCAAAAGTTTCCAGAAAGTGAGAGTAAAATATTATGGGTTATGTCACCCATGGTGCTTTCATAGATTTTAACAGGTTTGGCTTTCATATTTTAGTTTATCTGTCAGGTGTATGGGCAAACAGCATTTCTTGAGTATTTTTATAGCAGTGCGACTTTTTTTTATAAGCTATGTTGAAACCTTTAACGGTTTTGTCCTAATTAGAAGCCCTAGTGAGTCTGCGGTGTCTTGTTAGTTTAAAGGAAGAAAACTCTAGTTCTTCTGTAAGCTACTGTTGTCCCCAGCTGTTCATATATTATCATGATTGAACCAAAAATCACAATACAGTTAGCTGCTCAAAGTCTGAGCAGTGTCCAAGTTCTGTGACTTTGGCTTTGGTCATTTTTTCCTTCTTACTTGAGTCTCAGGGAACACCATTGTGGCTGCTGATCACTAGTCTTGAACTCCAGAGAAAATATTAATTTCTATGCTGTTAAAAAAACTTCTGGTAAGTTGCTGAGGTGGTTTTTCTTTTTTTAACCTTTATTGGCCCTGCTGTGCATGTTGTGTCTTTGTCTGATTTTTGGAATTTTAATAGCTTTTTCAGCCTTGTAATAATGCTTGTTTACATCAACAAAGATTACATTAAGTAGATTAGTGACTCCTGATATGTGTTTTCTATAGCAGCCATGCTTTCTTTCATGGACAGGCATTCAAAATACAGACGTTTCACAGGATGGATACTCCTGTCAACTGTTGTCTGAAGGATGCTTATAGCGGACTGCTCAGTCACATGAGTCAGAATTATGTCTATTAGTTAATCAAATCTTTTACATGAGTTAATAGCTCTTTCAATTTACTGAAGTAACTAAATTAATGGACATTTACTTTTTCATTTCAGAAATCCCATGATGGCAATGATTCAGGCAGACCGTTCCAGAACAGCATTTCATCATGCACACCAAGTGTTCCTTATCGGACAACCAAAAGCGTGGATTCAAGTGACGAAAGCTTTTCTGAATCTGATGATGACAGCTGTCTATGGAAACGAAAACGACAGAAATGTTTCAACTTTCCTCCTGCTAAATCTGAGCCTTTTCAGCTTAGCCAAAGCCACCAAAAGCAAACTGCTCTAGGTGGCAAGAAAGTCAACAACATTTGGGGTGTGGTGCTCCAGGAGCAGAATCAGGATGCGGTGGCTACTGAACTTGGGATTCTAGGCATGGATGGTAGTATTGACAGAAGCAGGCAGTCTGAGACTTACAATTATTTACTGGCTAAAAAGCTGATGAAGGAAGCTCAGCAAAAGGAGGCAGAGACTTTAGATAAAGAACTGGATGAATATATGCATGATGATAAGAAACCGTTGCCAGAAGAAGAAGAAAATGGGCAAGGCTTTCTCAAACGGAAGCGGCCTGTGAAAGATAGACTGGGTGAAAGACAAGAAATGAAATATAAAGGAAGGTATGAGATAACAGAAGAAGATTCAGAGGAAAAAGTGGCGGGCGAAATTGCTTATCGGTGAGTTTAATAACAACATTATCTTCGCTTCCTAAAAGTGTTGGTAAACTTGATGGAAGAAAAATGGCGGGGGGGGGAAGCTTTTTTACAGCTAAATATGTAAAATGTCATAGCAGATTACAAAAAGCACGAGTGCCTTCTGTGCATTTCCAAAATCTTGGGATTAAAATGCAGCGTTGTGGCTGGTTTCTTGTACTATTGTAATACTGTCTAATTATATATTTTTTTAAAGATCCATCAAAATCATTTGTTGTTTGAGAACAATGGCAAGGAAAAATACTGTTTCTCATGATACAGATTTAGTAGTAGCTTTTTTAGGAAATATCCCATGAGTGAAGATGCATGCTTGGAGTTGGACACAAAAGAACACCTGCTGTGGTCACCATGAAAATCTGGCTAAGTACAAGTCTTTGAAGCTGTAGATTACTTGGTCTGTGTAGTGTTTTGGAGAGTGCAACTTCTGAAATACATGTATTCTTTATGTGGAACGTGCTTGTCTGAAGAAAACATTTTGCTGCAGTTGTAACCAAGGGCTGTGCCAAGCTTAGATGCCAGCACTGAAATCAAGCCTTGCCTCTTTCTGCGTTGTGAAACTGAGCTGCAGTTTTGTGCTAGTTTACGGAAACCAGTGTAGGGGTTACCAAGCTCCAGCCGTCTGCACACTTATCACCATACAATTCTTTTCAGTCCTGCTATTTTGTTATTGTACACTGAGCTGAGTCAGAAAACTTGTCTGTCCAAACCCCTGTTGCGTTTTTTAAAAAGTGAGTTTGCAAACAGATTTGTTTCCTGAACCAGTTTGCTGCACTATTTCCTTAGAGCTAGCACTGGCAGCACCAGACCAATGGTGTGAGGGAGAGTACATAACTGCAGTCCTTCTTACTTAGATTGACTTAAGCTGCCATGACCCTTTTTCAGTGGTGCAGGGAAAGAAAATTCCATTAAATGAACAAACGTTACAAGATGTACTGACGGTTAGCTTGACTTTTAAATAAAACCTGGGTTTATTGGTCATTGTTAATTTATTTCATGTGATAGTATTGCCAGATGCTGAAATATGGCAATTACACAATTATTAATGCTGTTGCCAGTTCTTGGTAGCTTCTCACTTATGAATTTTAAAACTTGAGTACGTGTTTTGTAATAAACTTTTCTTTGTTATATTGAGCTTCATCATAATAGGGCAGAAGCCACTTTTTTTCTAATTGTTTATAGTAGTAGTGGCACTGAACTGCATCAGTAGGATTGTGCTTATACATATCACAGCACTATTGTTTAATCTGCTGTGCCATCGGTGCCTGGATTCATAATCTTTTGTTGTGCTGGCCCACTGAACTCAAAGCAAAGAGTTTTTCTGACCATGTTGTGCCATTTTTTGCCCTTTACCTCCTTCATTTCCTGTTGCAGTATAGAGCTGCTTGTTAAAGCATACGTACAGGAGGATTGTGCAGGGCCAGAATGAACACTAACTAGGTGGCCGTTTGACTGTTTAAGCTGCCACTGCTACTAAAAGAAGGTCTATTTAACCAGCTCTCTGAGGAGTCCTGGTCATCTTAAAGTTTTCTCCATCTTTGAGAAACATTTCCATCTCCTTCAATAATTCATAATTTAGAACTCAATCCTGTAAATAAAACAGCATTTATCTTTTGGTGCCTTGTCATTCATTGTACTCAGTGAGATTAAACAGAAAGTGTAAAGTTAAGCGGGTTCAGTATTCCTTTTCATGATTGGTACAATTGTCACTAAAATGGGTGTGTTGACATTTAATTTCAGGTAACTTCAGTCATACAACTGAAGCAGGTGAAGTTAAGTAAGTTTTACTACAATAGATTGTTTTAAATAATTGCTCACAATTGTGATCACACACCTTCTATTATGCAGTCATTGTAACATGCAATTTTATAGCATAGTAATGTCACTTGAAGCCATTAGGCTAGACAGTGGTCTTCAACAAATAATGGTAGTGAAGGTGGTCTGTTGGTCCCCAGAGTGTAGAACCACAGAGCTGTAGTGCTTGGGACTGCTTTTAATATGAGAAGCTTTGTCTAAAAAATTAGAATTTAGCCTATGAACTCTTGCTCTGGACAGGTGGTACTGATTTGTGGGCTTCTGATTTTTTCCAGTGGTAGTGTGCACTTTGGCACAGTGAATTGATGCTATGTAAGTGTCTCCCTTCACGGAGACTGACAATGAAATTTTCTCTATGAGGACATTGTTGCCAACAGAAGAATACAATTTAACTCAGTAATACTGCATTTTTTTTCTTATTTGGATTTTATAGGTTATCATAGATTACTCAACAAACTAATTTATTTTTTATCATGTAGGTTTTTCTGAATGGCACATGATACTGAGGAACTTTTACATTTACTGGTGTCTCTGGTTAATTGTTGATGTAACTGTAAAAGGTGCTGCAATTTTAACTGTTAAATGCAAAGCAGACTTTTTACTTTAATTTCAGAGATTTATACAGGTCTTTGCAGTTTCTTATTTGGTTTAATCTTTCACACAAGAAAAATAGTCACTCAATGCGTTTTCACTGAAACAAATTTTTAAAATGCATGCTTTAGCTTCTGAGGCATAGTTTTTTTCTCAGTATTTTGAAGTCTGATCCAAGAAATCCATTTAAATATATAGACTCTTTAATTTTAGCACAGTTTTATGTCCCACAGAATCGATTATTCATTATGGAAGTTCCATGGTCAATTTTACTTGAGAAATTATACTGACAATAAATGCGTTGGTTTTTGTTTGTTTGTTTTTCCCCTTCTCTCAGGCTTTGTGAGCCAAAGAAAGATTTAATTGCCCGAGTAGTGAAAATAATTGGGAAAAGAAAAGCTATTGAACTGCTTATGGAAACGGCCGAAGTGGAACAAAATGGTGGACTGTTCATAGTGGTAAGAAAAATGTGGGTTTGCAGGGTCACACACACACACACAAAAATTGTTACTTGTAGAATACTTACCTAGTATTATTGCACAGCTTTCAGGTTTGACAGGTTGAAGGCCATGAAACTCCCTTGATGGATGCTTGTGTAACCTACCAGCACTATTGGAGTAAACAATGAGATGAATGGAGCTGAAAATTGCCCAACTTTTTGTACTGAGATTAGTATCTGATTTGCAATAACATTGTATCTGTTACTCTGCCTTGCTTTGGGATTCTTTCCTGACAGACTGAAGAGTGAATGATCCTGAAGCTCAAATAAAATTTTGTAATGTTAGTATGCAGGTGAATCCTCTAGCACGTTGCTTCAGTAAGTCAGGTGGACACTTGACAGCCCTGACCTATCTACTGGGTTAATCAGCATGTTATCAGAGGTCAGTGTACTCAGTAGTCAGCATTTTTAATGTCACATTTGAAGAGTAACTTTCCAAAGGGAATCTGTTAGCTTTATTAGAGAACCATTAGCTTGTGTATCAGTGGAGCCAAACTGAGTGCTGGTTTCTGTTACAAATCATGGTAAAAATCATGTACTTCATGATTAGGTTATCAATTTTGCAGTACGTTGTTATTAAATAATGAGCCTCGGTACAAAAGTTCAGAGGAAAAAAAAAAGTGGGAGGGAACTATTGAGTACTTCTAGGCATTTGGTTGTAATTTACATCATCTGAGTTCCATCATTGGAAGTAGAGAGGAGGAACAAAGAGAAAAAAAGAAAAAAAAAAAAAGAGGAAAAAAAAAAAAGGGAAAACCACCACAAACAAAATCCCCCCACCAGACTTTCCAGCTAGCAACTTGTATTAGAAGCAGTGTATTGTCTTGAAAAATCAAAGTACTTGTTAACAAGTGTTTACCAAGGAGATGAAAGGACACAACTGTTGTGGAGGGTCTCCAAATAATTAAAATTTATTTTGATACAATCAATTAGCACTCCAGCAATCCTACAAAAATGGCAGATCCAAATGTCTGTGAGAAGAAAAACTATTATTGCACAAACTCCTAGGGTTTAACAGCAATACAGAATGCTTGGTCAGTTGTCTAAAAAGTGAGGGCTCTCAACCTGGAGGAATTTCTTTGGGTGGCGTCCTGACCTCAACTGCAGTGTGCTGCTCCAGAGAATGCAAAATGGCTTCCCCAGAGGACTCCACTTACACCCTAGCCAAATCTGATCTGTGGTCAATATCAGCCCCTATTGGCTGAGGGCCCCAATTACTGTAAAACCCTGAGAACAAGAGCATGAAAAAAATATATCAATGGCCACCCTATTTCAGCAGCCAGGAAGTCCCATTTTCATCGGGTGGGTGCATCTGCTACAGCACCCTGGTGGCACAGGTTTCTTTGGCTGTGGATCAGAGTACGCCATTTGAAAGTCAGATCATACTGTTTTGCTTGGTGGGGATTTTGTGCTGACAGGATGATAAAAGTGTGTGGCATCCGCTGTTTCAGGAACATACTTAAAAATTGACCTTCTCTGTTCTTAGAACTTTTGGATTGTTTTTTACTTTGTTTTTTTATCAGAAAAGTATCATGTTTAATACAATGTCAGAGCACTGGAGTAACAGTTCAACTTTATATATTATGAATGGAAATTGAATAATAGTATGATAATTAGTGCTTATAATTTACAGAAGTTTCAAAGCTGAGTCCATTCATGATGCTTCAGTATGGCACACTGGACCACTGAAAAATCTCTTGAAGCATGGAATTAGCACGTTGTGGGGAAAAACTTCAAGATACATGTTGTGTTTTGTATACCTTTGGCAGAAATGCAAAATCCTGCAGATATGCTGACAAGTTGTAGAATTGCTGAGCATAATTAAAAAACCCCCAAGATCTACATAATTTTATTAAATTAATTTCTGACATTTTACTGGACTTATGTTAGGAATGTTCTGAATATTTAACCTAGTCTATACGTCCTTGCAGATAGTTACGAGAGTAGTTAGAATACTCTTTGCATTGTTTCTTCACTACCAAAATCAGATTTAGTATGTAGTTGAACAGTTTGGTGTTATATTCTAAAGCAGATTTTTTGTAACTTCATAGCTTACCTGTCCAAATGTAGAAAGATTGTTGACCTTCTTACAACTAGCTCAATTGCAAATAAACCATATTCAGGGTTTCTTTTATGTAATACCTAACACAGCAGAACTTTGATTCTTTTTTTTTTTTATTTTATTCTATCTCAATACAAAGCATTGTCTTAGATGCTATTTTTATATCAACATTTACATATTAAGCTTGCTATTACTAATTTATTCTTTCACTGTTAAGAATGGCACTAGAAGAAGAACACCAGGGGGCGTTTATTTAAACCTGCTGAAGAACACTCCTAGCATCAAAGAACAGCAAATCAAGGTAAAATTGTCAAGAGTGCAAATGATTGTCCAAAGTAAATTATTGGTTTCTTCTACTAGAAAGATTATGAGTGAATCTCTCTCCTAACTTCAAGCAAGTTTAACTCTATATTCCAAAGAAACCAGCATTTCATATTCAGAATATAAGGGAAAAAAAAAACCTGATGAATTGCCATGTGCACTAGGCAGAGAGAATACCTTTTACATATTGCCAGTCACAAAAACCTGTGACGGTGATGAGATTGTAGAGTCTGAAGCGATAAACACTGGATTTTCCTTAATTTATATATACCTTACAGCAATGTTATCTGCAGTTTCATTTCTCCCCTTGGAGCTCTGTGTCATTGTGCATGAATTGAATTATGTTCTCTTAATAGAGTATTTTTGTCCTATGCAGCTCCAGCTGTAGCACCAGGCTATTTCATATTAAGTCAGGTACTGGTCTGAACCTAGTCTGAATTGCTCACTGGCCTCATCTGTGGTGCTCACCAAATTAATTTTCTCAGCTTGTAAATATTATTGCCTTTCCTTTTAGGGTATGAAATAGACTGAGATGGTATTTTCCTCATTCAATTAAAACAACCTGGGTTTTTTCATGGTATTTGAAACTTTTTAAAATTTTTTGTTAAAAGAAAGACTTGTTTATTTTGCTTATAGGTGGCTACAGCTCACTCTGCAAACCATCCTAGCATCTGGTACTGGATATTGAAAAACAAATTTATGTTTTTTAAAAAATAAACAGGGAAGGGAAGGCACTCAGCTCTGCTACAGGATATTCTCCCCCTTGAAATATGGAGGAAACTTGTAACAGTCATATTTTGCAGTACAGAGAATGTTGATGGGGTTGACAGATGTTTGACAGTAAAGATCATGAGGCTGGGACAATTGTGGAGGAAAGTTTTCTCAAATTCTCACAGAACCTTTGGTCGTATTTTCTCTAAAGGTCCCTCTGTACAGCAGCACAACCCTCTGGTCTGCCACCCATTCCTCCCACTTTTGTATCATCAGCAAACCTGAAATGAAAACTTAGTGATATTTATTTACAAATACTTTGAGATCACTGAGAAATTGTGTAATAAAATTATTTCTGGGGCATTTTGCATAAGTGCAGTCTATCTTCATAATTCTACTATCAATAATGTGTATCTTGGTTACATTTTATTGAACAGTATTTGTAATTAAAAAATAATTTTTACTTCTTTGTTTTCTTTAGGAAACACTAGTAAAATGAATGTGCCAAACTTGTGGGTTGTTTTTTTTTTTCTTTCAAGGAAATATTCTACCTGGAAAACCAAAAGGAGTATGAAAACAAAAAAGCTGCTAAGAAGAGGAGAATACAGGTTCTAGGAAAGAAGATGAAAAAAGCCATTAAAGGGCTTAACCTGCAAGAATATGATGATGCATCTCGTGAGACTTTTGCTAGTGATACAAATGAGGCTCTGGCTTCCCTGGATGATCTACAGGAGGGGCATCATGAAGCAAAGATGGAACCTGAAGATATTACTGAAATTGATAATGCTTACGATTTGGAGATCTTCTAGTTACTAATGTTCTTGATAACAAGGTCTCTATAAAACATATTAAATGAGCCTTTCTTATAATCCCATGTCTGCTTGTTTTCATAAGCTGCAGAAACATGGGAAATAATTGATGCTGAAGAACATGACATAAATCTTAGCTAAATTTAACAGCATGAAAGATGTTAATTGTCTTCTTTGTTTGCTGAGTCTTCAAAAACTGTTAAGATTTTTCTAGGTAACAGCTCTGCATCACCGTGCTCGTTCCTTAGGAACTTTTTTCAGCCACGTTAGGTTTAGGAATTAAGGCTATGTTTTAACCAAATACATTATATATAATTTGCTGATGCTACCAAATTCATCAAGTGAGGAATGCTCCTCATTAGTTGAACAGAAAAAACAGTATAAAGTTAGTCTTAATGCAAAAGGTCATGTGTTCTTAATATGGCAGTGTGTTGACAAGTATAGCAGTGTTTATAGAATTATGACCTGTGAAAACAGATTGGTTTGTGAAATAATTTTAATGGTCAGTGACCTTTGAATAACAACTTTGTAAATAACCACTGTTGATCAATGTATGTTTTAAATTTCTGCAGCAGTTTAATCCTTCCTACTATAATAGTGGCTTGAGCTTCCTACCTGTTCTGTCTAGACTTTTTTCCACTATTAGACACACAAAACTTACACAGATCTCTTTGAAAACAAATGTAACTGAATGCTTTCTGACTAGCAGGAATTTACCGTCAGTTCCCCTCAAGGGTCTGTAGACTCTACATGCAGGTATAAACCCTTTACCTTGCAGTTGTTCCATGCTGCTTCTCATGCGTGTGGTGGGATAAAGTAGCGTGCGGCTTGCAGAAGTTCTGAAGTTTTTCTATGCTGACTCCTAAAAAAAAAGTAGTGTGCAAAAAATAATTTTTTTACTTGATGCAGAAGACTGTTGTGTAGTTTGTAAGTTCAATTGAAGACAACTTTTATGTTGACTTGTTTTTAATATAACTGAAGAACATTTCTGACACTGATACACATGATGTCTAAAATACTTTGTCACTAATAAGTTGTGTTTTCTGTGACTAGACACTATTTTCCAGTATAAAATATTTCTGAAATATTAGCGAATTCGTTTTCAAACCCAACAACAAAGTTCTGCACATGATTTTAGTTCACCTGGAGTCATTGGATTTCAGATACAAAACATATCACTAAAACACATAGTGAAGTTATAATATTGAACAATTCAGTACTGTCGAGCTGATAGTTAAAGGACTACAATATTTGAAGAAAGAGTTCTTAAACATATAACACATCGCATTATATGCTGTACTAAATTTGAGTTTTGACATTTCTGCATTTTTTATTCATGTGCCAGAGCTCCCTATTGTTAAGAAGTTAGTCATCCCATGTGAAGCATGCCTTCTTTGGTAGTAGTTGCTCTTGCTGAAATAACAAAATGTTTTGATTTGTTCATTAACTTCCTAACAAACCTGTGATGGCCAGAGTACTAAGCTTGTAAGTTGTGTAAGGGAAGCAGAATTTTGTACTGTTTATTTAGTTTGGGACTATACCATTTGATCCTAGTTTTGGGAACTGCTTGGGAATGTCTTAACAATTTTATGGATAGAACCAGCAAATTTTAATGGTGTTTTAAGTGATTTTTAATTGTTACATAATTTGCTGCTAATGAGCGCTATTGTTTAAATGTTAATTTTTTAATGTTGTTTTCCCAGGTAAGGGGTACTGAAAAAATGTATAAAGTCTTCTCCTTAACAAAGGAAGATGATACAGTGTCCATTCCTTCCTTCCAGAGTCTGACTAACAGACCTCTGCTTATCTTCTGATTTTTCTCTTTTCTAGTTTCTTTGGCTTTTAACAGAGTCCTTTCAAAAGGAAGCCTGTTAAAAACAATGAGCAACTAGTCTTTGTTCCTACTACACCAGCAGTTTATTTTTTTTTACCTTTGGTATCAAAAAGATTGCATTAAGCAGCATCAATTTTTTTGTAGCACCATAGTGGCTGCAGCTGAGCAGTGGTTGTTTAGTGGAGTCTTGGGTCTGATCTTCCCCTCTCTGCAGCCTGGCACAGGCCCTTGCCCTCTTAGGTGGGATGCATCTGCTTGTGCTGGTGAGTGGTGGTGGTGACCCAGCAGTGGACCAGACAGAATTTGGGGCTTGTGTCAGCAAGCCTTGGGTTGAACATGGGCAGTGTTGGAGCTGAGGAGCGCAGGGCTTTGGAGTCTGGTGCTGCAGCCACCGCAGTTTTAAGGGCACACATGCAGATCCGCAAGGGTGAGAAAATGGGCTGTGATGTCCCTGCACATTGCTATCAATCTGCCTCTTTCCTCTATGGCCTGAGGCTGCTGGAAGTTGTTGAGAGCGGTACAGTGGTGGTTGTTTTCATCTTCCTCATGAAGCAGCTTTTTCATTCCTCCTTTATTTTCTTCCCCCAAAACTGCTGCAAGAGTAGGAAGCATGGGTAAGGACAGAGTTTTTCTCTCTCAGCACCTACATATTCAACTTCAATCTGCCCTGAGCTGGCAATTGCAGAGGTAGCAGCTCCATGGTGATTGTTAATCAACTATGGCTTGCTACCAAACTGGATTTTGTGGGCTGTGTTTTGTCTGGTAACAGATATGCCTGGCTGTTTAGATTTTAGAAGCTGATGTTTTACAGACAAAAACGCAAATACAAAGATTGAGGTTTCTGTTCTTAAGTTTCTCTGATGGGCAGATGGGATTGTGGCATCATCTTTACTGCAAAAGTAGACTCCATACTGCCAGGACAAATGTCATCCTCTGTCCCTTAAACTGCAGCTGTGTCATAAGCCATCTTTGTCATGCCTGAAGCAGACAGTGAAAATGAGAGAAGTATTCTCTGGTTTGAAAACACAAAGCTTGTTTGTAACCAAAGGTTTTTTTCTTCATTCTCTCCCAAATTCAAATAAAAAAAACCAATACTTTTTGGTATCACGGGTGAAATTAATTTATTAATGATTCAGTTTTATAGTGGACCATGAAAACATCATTTTAATTACAGTAATGCGGATTGTCCTCCCCCTTCCAAGTAGATGATCTCATTAAAATGTGTTTATGTCCTCCAGGATTATTAACTGCTCTTTGCCAAAATTCTCAAGCAAGCATGGAATAACCCAATGCTTATTATGATGCCTTAGAAAAAAGATAGGAAGAATAATTTGAATTTAAAGGTAGTGATAGTGAGATCAGAAAGTGGTTTTGTACTGTATGCAGCTTGATAGTTGTCGTGTATACTCCAAGGTACTGTGGGGTATACAGCAACTCATATTGAATCCAGTTCCAAACATCAAGCTAGACAGCAATGCTTTGTAATTCTCTCTACGATCTTCATAGTGCCAATAGGACATCTTATCCTGAAGCCTATTACTGTCTAGAACACATCTAAATCTTTCATTCTGTTTTCCTTTGTTGAGCATAATTTAAAAAAAAAAAAAGTGTGACTGTGGCTCTTACGAGAAATGGCTAGAGCCGTATGATTGGTATGTGTGGGGTTATTCGTTCTACAGATAGGTTTGTTAAGGACTGTGGTTTCTTCAAGATCTGTGAGGAGCCAAAGAGGGAGGGAAAGGGAAACAACAATAATAAGATATAAAGGTGATGGGTAAAGTGAATGAAAAGGTGACTACATTAATTATGAAAATAGCTGTTACAGGGAAGTCAAATTCCTTGTATCTTGTCAGAGTAAAGGTGTGGAGAGGTCGACTGGGTAATAAGAGGTTTTCAAAAGGTGGTTTTTTTTTTTTCAATCTGTCATAAAACTTTGCAATGACAACCCTTACTACTTATCCCTTTAACTTATGCCATCCTCTGATGCTGTAGTTTTGACACAGGAAGGTCTGCCAGAGGCACTTTTTAAAATCTCAGTTTATTTCAGCATACAGAGGAGAGTTGTATTCATGGCTCCGGTGAATATGGGCTTACTTGGTACCCCACTCCTGTTCCTAATTCTTACTGGTGAGCAGCAGGTCAAAGATAAAAAGTCTGTTTCTGAACTATTACTGTACTTCAGTGATTCTGGGAATATCCAGTCTTAGAACTTTCGCATCATAGTTTAAGGGGCTCAAGAACCTGTCAGAGACCATGACTGCTGTTTCCTAGGACCACCTCTTGGACTTCGTAAGCAGCTGGGGAGCATGTTGCACAGTGGCAACCTCTGCAGCAACCGTGACCTCTTGATAATTTGGACCTACTGCATCCTATCTCACTTGTGACCTGTCGGGCCCTAGGAAGTTCTCGCAGAGCAAAGCTTCCCAATATTTAGAAAGAACGTATTTGGAGATTTCTCATCTCCTTATCTGCAATATTGATTGATGCCACTTTTTCAGAGCTGTGGAAGGAAGAACACTCAACTGTGATAGACTTAATACAGCCCAGCCAAACACATTTCTAGAATCACAAACGTGCAGACCTAAATACAGACAAAAATTAGAAATGCGTACCTGAAGTTATAACAGGAGACTACACACAAGTTTGGTATTACAGATACTACCTTGGAGGTCAATTGTTTTGTTTCAGCAGAGAGATAATTTTTCAATTTAAAAAAAAAAAAAAAAGGCAAACCAACATTTTTGTTTCATTAAATAAATGCAGAAAAATCTTATCTTAAAAACTTCTCGGAGTTCTGCTTGACTGGTTGGTTTGTTTTTTCGCTTGAAAGATCATTTGTGAGCACACCTGTTTAAAACATCATCCCTTTGAAAGGTATTCTAATTTTTCTCTTTAGGTTGCACTTTTTCAACTTGTGCCCTGAATTTTTCATTTGTTCTATCAGGGTTTTTTTTTTAAAAAATGATAGTACACCTATTTACAGTAATTATTTTGTAATTGTTGTTTAGTTATCACTGACAAGACTTGCATTGACAGCCTGCAACCACTGGAATATCCTCATTCAGCATGCAGAACTTGCTGAAATGTATACTGGGGCTCTGGAAGATGGTTTGTTCTTGGAGCACCAGGAAAAACTTTACAATGGAGATGAAAGAAAAAGCTTCCAAGAAAAAATAAGTACTTTGGGAAATGTTAACTACTGATATACTTACACACTCCCATGTTTCCAGGTACTGGGCAACTGTGATTGCTCTTGCATGCAGAAAACTCGTGATCTGTTTTTCCCTCTTAAAAACAAGCTGGAATAGCATAGTATGTAACGTTTAAATGGCATACAAAATTGCACCAAACAGTTGCATGGACTATTTTATTCATAAAGAAAAGTTAAAACAACTTGCCTTAATCCTGTCATTGATACAGAACATTAGACCCCAAAATATTTTGGACTCAAGATCTTGGTGGAAAAACAAAATGTCCATAGAGATGTATAGGAGATATGTAGCAGCCTAATCCTATGTTGTCTCCTTCGTGTAAAGTACTAATGGCTTTCTTCTCCCCCTGCATCTGCTTGAATTAACCCTATTAATTCTTACCTTGTCCTTCTGGAGATATTGTGACCCACTTTACCTTTTTTTTTTTTTTTGTAATCTTCTTTAAGCAGTACTCCTATTTCTCTGCCTGATACATAAATAAAACACCCTTAACTCCTCTGTAGCAGGGATAAATTATTCCCAAACCTATTACAGTGAATTAAAATTTTCTGAAGGAAGAATTTCTATCTACAGTCCCTGACACCTTTTAAAAGAAAAGGAGACAAATGCAGAAAAATTCTCACAGGCCATCAGAGAAAGTGTGCTGAAGATCTAAGTGAAGAATAAGGTGAAGATATAAAATAAATAAATTCCACAAGTGATAGCAGCTGGTTCCAGCCATCCAAATGCCTTCCCTGTAGAGCTGTCAGCCTGAACCAGATGCGTACATCTAAGAAGAGATGTCATTCAGTTTTCTCTTGCAATTCTCTAACCAACTCCTCATTGTGTAAATACCACATTGTCAAACTGGAGGGTGACAAGTGGAAATCTAAAGAAAAAAACCTCTAATTTTGCAAGGGTTTGAATATTCTCTAAGTTTTCCAGAAAGTGTTTTAATACCCTCATTACTTGTTTGACTTTTGTCTTATGTGATACAAGTAAGTTTGTCTATTGTAATGTTTGTCTAGATACTTTATTACTGCCTATTTAAATATGAAATACTAAAGCTTTATTTTAGGTTACTCTCTTGAAAAAATGTGTTTTATTCCAAGTTACTGTATCCTCATATTCTGTTTTGTAGTGGACTAACCATTAAATTCAATGGACAGAAGCTAGCTTCACAGCTGTAGGTACTTATTAATGGAAATACAAATTAATAGAAATAGAAATACAGAATTGCCATGGAATGAGAAGGACTTTGAAGATTTCTACATAATTACTATCCATTTAGTTTTGTGTACATAGAAAAAATAATTTCCAAATAGTATTATTTTTCCTTAAATGGTCTCAAATATAAAATGCTTCATTTATATTTAGTTAGGAAAGTGGATAAAATGTAGGATTGACACTATCTTTTCTACAGAAGACAATAAAATTGAGCCAATGCATTGTTACTATTCATACTAAGTGGGTCTATTTCCCTGCTCTGAAAACCTGTAACGTGCGGTCTTGTTCTGCTTTTATTTGGGTTTGATTTTTAATGCTACTCCTCTTAGCTGATTCCTCTTAGCTGTTTTCTGCAAACTGCTTAATTTCTTACATTATTCATATTTTCCCCAATGGCAGATATTCGAGATTAGTTTCTGTGCTAGAACATATACAGTACATCTCAAAAGACTGATGCTTCAGTAAAGTAATTTGTTAATTTGAACAAAATCTTTAGAGGTAAATTGAACCTTGTATGTGATTGGGTTGTCATTTTGCAATGAATTATTAATTGTATATTGCTCTACTTTAGTGGTTTAACTTTGGGATGTCTAAATGATTCAGAATGCATACCTTTTGAAGAATAGTAGTGTCACCTTCCTTTTTTTTTTTTTTTTTTTTTTAAAGGATTAATTTGAACTATACTATTGTCAAAAGACAGCTGGGAGTAAGAGAATATTGAGTACACTTGTGTGAAACTTCCCACAGAAATTGTCTGACAGTATCCAGTACCACAATTTAACATCTCAGCCTCTTTTCTCTGAGGGTTACAAGTTGAAGATATTATTGCGTTCCTTCAACTTCTGATGCAGTTGCAGGCTTGGATGCTCCCAGTTTAGCCAAAAGAGCATAGAGCAGATGAATACCTGAGCACTACAGCTGTAAAGCTGTAACCATCTTTGCACTTTCCAGGATAACTGAATGAAGAGAAGAGGGTACCAAGCAAGCAGGAAGAGCGGGCGTTTTAGGATTCCCTACCCTTTACAGCCAGGCTAACTGAATAGATGATGATTTTTTTCTTGCTCTCCCTGCACTGGGAGTCTGCATCTGCTCTCAAAAATATTCTGTGCTCGGCAGCTACTTCTGGCAGTGTTAATGCCCCTGTGATCTTCATATACGGGATAAGCAGTACATCAAGTAGGCCGGCCTCCCAGCAAACCATTTTCTTTCCTCTTTCCCTTCCTTCCTCCCTGCTGCACTTTTGTTTACTTTTTTCCAGCAGCCCTCAGTCATGTGAATCTTTAGCAGGGTGGAAGGGAGACATAGGCCCTGCTGAAATTTACCCTGTAGAGCAACCCCACAGAGAATAGAGGATTATAGATACAAGACAAGCTTTAAAGTAATTCTGCGAATAAGTTCACCTTAACAATTAAGTGAGGCGTTGAACAGATGAGATTAAAGCACATATGAAGGTGGTTGTTCATGTAATTAAAATATCGCTCTACAGATATTTTCAGAAATCACAGTCCCTGCCAAGAAATTTCTAAGACTGAAATCTAATAGGCTCTTCCAGCAAGCCCTTAAAAAAGTGGGAAATAAGGTAGAATAGCTTGTAATAATTCTGGTTGGAAGGGACCTACAATAATTATCTAGTCTGACTGCCAGACCACCCCAGGGCTGACCAAAAGTTAAAGCCTATT